ACCCAGATGCAAAATAACAAATCTATAAATAAAATGTTGTCCAAGTGAAAAGAGCTGTTATGGGTTTTAGTACAAGGAGGATTGAAATATTACTCAGTGGTGTTGGGCCCAAAGACTCACCAAGCTGTCTGCTGTGCTGGACTGTCTCAAGCTACCTGGGACACATCAACAAGAAGTTGAGCAGACAGCAATTATGTTTACCAAAATATAGGTGTCTCTCTTCCTACTCTCTCCTCTTATTTCCTTTCTAATGTCCTACTCCATAGATCTACAGTACCAAACTTCGCACATGGCATCATGGGTGAGCACAGGACCAATAGTGTCAAATAAACTAAATTATAGCTATCATCTTTAACCTTTGTACTACTGTACATAAAATCATTACTTACAACATGGTCATGATTAAAAAAATATCATAGAGTAATATAGTACTGAAATATGTAAGGATATTTGTACTAACACTCTTATATGGGTGGGAAGCATGGGTAACCGGTTAGCTGGGCTTGAGTCCTGGAAATGGGAAGTACAATGCCTGCACTTTAACCCTTTCAGGGTCCATCCCATAGATCTACAGCTTTGAAGCCAGGGTCCAAATCGTAGATCTACGCCATGAGCTCAGCTCAGATAACATCTATGTGGAAAGTGTGCACCACATAAAACAAATCCTGCAGCACACAGTGCATAATGAGAGAAAAAAAACTGCCACCGTAATTTTGGATTAAAGCAGCGACTTTGCAGTTTTTTTCGTAAATTTTTTACAGTTGTTTTCACAATTTCTTCGTGTCAATTGATAGAATAGACGATATATTACAGAAACTGAGATAATTTTGATTGGTTTTAGCACTGAAAATGGCTTGAAACTGAGCTCAAATTTTTGTCAATGTTCAGGAGTAAACAAATGACATCACAAGTCTAATAAGCTTCAGCTGGTGGGTCTAATATACGTTCACAAATGTGTTGATATTATTTACACAATTATTACAACATTACATAACAGTAAATTTTCTATTTTATTGGAGTGAATAAAAATTCATTATGTGAATAAAAAATCAAAATGGAATTCATTTGTAAAGCCTGAAAATGTAACTAATGAACAGGGGAAATGTTAGTTCAGTGCCATGAATGCCTGCATTATTTATTCTGGACCCTATTTTGAAATTGGAATATTTTGAACTTTGTGTAAAATTGGTCAAATTACCAATTTACGATCACTTTACTGGGTAGTTGAAACAGTTGACTGGGCAATTTCTTGTGCTCAATAGATAAAACAGAAGTAATACTAGCAAAATAGATAAGAATTTGGTCAACTGGAATAATGTAATTGACCTAAAATGGGAGTCAAAGTTGGCAAAATTGGTGATGCATAAATATCACTGACGATCCAAAATTCACGAGCATAATTTCGTCAATTTTCCATCAAATTTCATAATTTTTGTTTTATTACCTTTAGAAGATTCTCTACCATTTCATAAGAAAAAATATTTTTTTCTTTTTTTTTTTAAACTCTTGGACCCTGGCTGTCACTCTGAGATTTGGCCTCTGGACCTTCAAAGGGTTAGAGGAGGGGTTTGGGATATTAGAAGTTTGGAGGGACATCTAAGCTGTCAAATTTCAGTGCCTTTGCAAAAGCAGTGATTAGGTGTGAGTGATAGTGAAAGTGCTGAATGATGATGAAAGTTGTTTCTTTCTTTTTGGGTTTTTCTTTCTTTTTGAGTCACTCTGTCTTGGTTGGGAAACAGCCGGCGTGTTAAAAAAAAAATCTTGTAGTAATTGTAATAATCATTCATTGAAGAACAGATGCTGCAATATCAAAGTCATCTTTGTTGTCATTATGCAAGCCAAAGAAAGAAGGGAATGCATGAAAGTATAATGGTACCAACACTCGTATATGGGTGTGAAGCTTGGGTTGTAAATGCTGCAGCGAGGAGGCGGCTAGAGGCAGTGGAGCTGTCCTGTCTAAGGGCAATGTGTGGTGTAAATACGTATTATGCAGAGAATTCGGAGTGTGGAAAATAGGAGGAGGTGTGGCTTTACTAAAAGTATTAGTCAGAGGGCTGAAGAGGGGTTGCTGAGGTGGTTTGGTCATTTAGAGAGAATGGATCAAAGTAGAATCACTTGGATAGAGTATAAATCTGTGGGGAAAGGAAGGCAGGGTAGGGGTCGACCTTGAAAAGGTTAGAGGGAGGGAGTAAAGGAGGTTTTGTGGGTGAGGGGCTTGGACTTCCAGTGTGTGTGAGTGTATTAGGTAGGAGTGAATGGAGACGAATGGTTTTTGGGACCTGACGAGCTGTTGGAGTGTGAGCAGGGTAATATTTAGTGAAGGGATTTAGGGAAATTTAGGTAGTAGGTAGGTAGACAGCAACCGCCCAGGGAGGTACTACCATCCTGCCAAGTGAGTGTAAAACGAAAGCCTGTAATTGTTTTACATGATGGTAGGATTGCTGGTGTCTTTTTTTTCTGTCTCATGAACATGCAAGGTTTCAGGTACATCTTGCTACCTCTACTTACACTTAGGTCACACTACACATACATGTACAAGCATATAGTATATACACACCCCTCTGGGTTTTCTGCTATTTTCTTTCTAGTTCTTGTTCTTGTTTATTTCCTTTTATCTCCATGGGGAAGTGGAACAGAATTCTTCCTCTCTAAGCCATGCGTGTTGTAAGAGGCGACTAAAATGCCGGGAGCAAGGGGCTAGTAACCCCTTCTCCTGTATAAATTACTAAATTTGAAAAGAGAAACTTTTGTTTTTCTTTTTGGGCCACCCTGCCTCGGTGGGATACGGCTGGTTTGTTGAAAGAAGATTGATAGATTTAGGGAAACCGGTTAGCCGAACTTGAGTCCTGGAAATGGGAAATGCAATGCCTGCACTTTAAAGGAGGGGTTTGGGATACCGACAGTTTGGAGGGACTTCTAAACTGTCATGTCTGAGGGCCTCAGCAATGACAGTGATTATGTATGAGTGAGGTGAAAGTGTTGAATGGTGATGAAAGTATTTTCTTCTCAGGGATTTTTTTTCTTTCTTTTTGGGTCACCCTGTCTCACTGGGAGATGTCTGACTTGCTAAATAAAAAAAAAAAAAATAAGAACATGGAAATAACACTGATACTAAGCTGGAATGTTGAGTTTGCAGTATATGAATATAACTGTCTTCTATGTGGTTCTCAGTTGTCAGTTACACTGTCAACACATACTTTATGGAAAGACATTATTTGGTGAAAATAACACTCCTTTCACCTTGACAATAGTCAAATTTTAACTATGAAAAGTAAAACCTAATAATACACTATGAAGCTACCTTTCCATCATTACATCTCTATGTTATAGACAACTGGGTCCCTCAGGTAGATCTATATTTTGGCCTATATATGAGAGTGGGTCTGTGTGGTGAGTGCACAGTTTAAAAAAATAATCCTGCCCCATGTAGCGCATGATGAAAAATCAAAACTCTGACCTTATTTGATTAAAAATAGCAACTTTGAGATGTTTGCTAGGATTTTTTTTTTTTATGATTTTATTGGTTTCAGAACTGGAAGTAGCTTGAAAATGGACTAAAAATAGCTGAAATAACTGATTTTTGCCAATTTCCCTGAGGACAGGTAAGGCCCCACTACACCTCCCAGTGTTTTATAGATTTTTACTAGGTAGTATAGGGGTAAGTATTCCTGCCTGTCATGTGGGATTCATTTCCCCATGGGGTAGGAAACTTTTGGACTTTTCATGGACTGGGCTTTAAGAGCATTAGCCCCTGGAACACCCTCCAGATATAGTTATACTATAAACCATGACCAATCATTCCTGGCTATATTTTTTTTATCCAAGAAATATGGTACATCTTCAATTTTTTGTAATAAATTCAAAATGTATGGCAAGTGTAATATAGGAGAGCCTTGGTGATGCAATAAATGAACAGAGGAAATATTGTTTCAGCGCCTGGAATGTCTACGGTGTTTGTTTTGGACTATTTTTTAATTGGTACTTTTTAATTTTGTGTAAAACTTGGCAAATTACCGACTTCTGTGTACTTTATAGGTTAGTTCTGATAGTTGAATGGGTGGTTTTTGTGTTCAATTGATGGAACAGAAGGCATACTAGCAAAAGAGGTTAGAATTTCATCAAAATGAGTAATGGGATCAGCTTTAAACAGGACTCAAATTGGGAGAAATTTCCAATGCATATATTGCACCTAGACCTTCAACTTCAAGCCTGAGTAATTCTGCAAGTTTTCCATCAAATTTTGTATATTAGTGTCATTATCTTTATTTAGAAAATTGTTCTCTACCATTTAAAAATATATTTTTTTTTAAATGTGGATATGAGAGCAATTTTAATTTTGGGAGGTTATGACAGTGAAGGGGTTAAACACCAAAATTTATATTGATGACTGCCTACTGGATATAAAGTTACTGAAGTGAAGAAAAGAAATGTTGCAGAGGTCTCGCTCTGTACAGGGCTTTAAAGAAATGTTGCAGAAAAAGCTATTATTGGATGTTTCACTCTGAACAGAGCTTTATCAAGTCATGGCTTAAGAAAACTCTACACAGAGTGAAACACTGTCCCACTACAAACATATTCTGCAATATGGGTCTTTCCTTAATCACTTTCAGCAGTAGGCAGTTTGGTTACAACCCTATACTGTTGCAACTCGGCAAATTTTTATTGTTAAACTAACCTTATCACTGAGCCTCTGGGCTGTTTCCTTGGCAGCCTCTTTCTGAATCACGCATTCCTCATACCTGATGGTTGAAACCTTATGTATAAACTAAAAAATTAAAACTCTTTGATATTAAAAAATAAATTATATAATTGGTAATTTAAAAAAATTACATTTTAACCTACTGTATTGAAATAATAAATAAAAATAACACTACTAAAAGTATTATCAAAGGTTGTATTCAAAGTTTAGATGAACAAAATTTGACAAACCAAATAAGGAAAGAGAGGCAACCAAATGTGTGAGGAAGTATAAAACTTTGGAGTGATAATAAAACTCCACC